GTACAGTGTGAATTTGTGAACAGTTTTTTCGCTGATTCGATTGGGCATGCGTGTTTGACGTCACTCTAGTGCGGTATCTACCGTTGGTATATCCTATTATTTTGAAAATACGTGTACGCGTTTGACCGCGTTTATCATGAAATACATTGCATTCGCGGTATTTCCGATGAGCATCGAAAAGACGGGCGTTAGAAATTAAAAAAAAATAAATAAATAAATAATAATAAAAAAACGCGAATATTTCGATACGAAAAAAAACGTTTTTCGAAAATGTCGTCGCTCTGTCGTGGCTCTTAGTGCGCAGTACACCAGTATCGGTATGTGCTCGGTTATTTAGATTCTGCGTAGCGCGGCGAGGGGATCAATCGGTTTCGCCGCGTGCGTATTTTATGGAATTTCTGTTTCCGTAAACAACTTTACTCCATAACGGAAATCTGGCTCCGATCAAAAACAACGAGAGACCTATTTCGTTGCGTTTCGGATCCAGTCGGTGCGAGTAATGTGTTTGATTCGTCAAAAGTTTTCCATTGTAATCGGAAAAAACCGGCAATTTTTCGTAAATTACCGCGGTAACAAGGGAAACGTACGACCTATGCTCAGAACGATTAGTCATTATCAACGGTTCATCGCCGTTGTGTGATTAATCACACAAATTAAATCGTGCGTATTTTATATTTTCGACCATTACGAATTCCGACTTTTCATCAATCGTATACTAAATAGTCGCACTAATGTTGACGACCATCAAAAAAAAAAAAAATCGGGATTTGCGTTTCCGACGTTTCTACCCTGTCGTCGTGTCGCCGAAATCGACGTTCGAGATCAAGCAGCAGCTCGCCAAAAAGACGAGAGAGAACCGTCCCGTTCCTCGGTGGATTTGGACGAACACTGGTTACACGATCAGATATATGCACGCCGAGAGACGACGTCGTCGGAGAAGAACTGAGCTCATGTCGTAAGCTCTGACACCGTTTTCCCCGTGTCCCGTCAATGACTATTCAGAACGATATTTGTGTACAACGGTTGTTTAATGTACAATATGGTATCAGCTACAATTTTTCAGGTTTTTTTCCCCGATAAATTGGAAAAGCCGAGAAAAGACGTATAGTTTACCGAAAATCATTAATTGTTTTATCAAAATATGACATATATATATATATTGTTGACGTAGCACTATATCAACCGGACTCCGCTGAGAATCGTTTTTTTCGTTTTAAAAACGGTTAAACGTTGCTTGCGTTGATGTACGTTAATTTCCCGTGTCTGTATCCTATACATTCTCAAACTTTACGCCTACAACGGCGGCCGCACCCGTCCTCGTTATCCGAGGACGGGTATTTTTTTTTTATTTTGTAAATACATAATATATAATATGTAATGTTGTTATCTCGCGCGGATTGAATAAACGACGTAATATCTTTTCGCTATAACGCTGTATTTGAAATGATCGTAATAACAATAATAGTAATAATGCTCCGTGGGACGACGGCGACGAGGAGAACGCGAAACGACAAAAGAAAAAAGAAAAAAAAAAAAGAACACAACCTCTTCTCGCGTAGCCGTCGGTCGTCCGGCGCGCGGACGGATCGGATCCGAAATAATCGTTTTATCGGTACACGCGCGCGCATGCGCGGGTAATAATGAAAAAATGCCGTCAGAGAATCGACGGAAAATAAAAATAATAATAATAAAAAAAAACCATCACGGACGATTTTTATATACGTACTTACGTACAGAAACACACACACACACACACACACACACAGACATGAATAAAACGGTCGTAAATTATATTTTATAGACGTGTATTATATATTATATTATGTACTCGTATCTATCATATATATATATACGCGTACAACACACACACACAAATACACACAACATATGTGTATATATATATATATAGAGTGAGAGATATAAATATATTATTATTATAATACCGGCTAAATCGTACGTATATATAAACCGTAAGGCGGAAAAAAAAAATAATAATTTCGAAACGAGAAAATATATACATATAAATGTGTGTGTGTGTAATATTTTTTAAGTACGACCAGATAACGTTCCGAACGAGAACGTTTAATATAATAATATCGGTTCCTAGCTATATTACATTATACACCTATATATGTATATACATGTACAATACATAATATACTCAATCGAGTATCCGGCTAGTGTGTGTGTGTGTGTGTGTGTGTGTGTGTATGAGCCGAACCGTTTTTTTTTTCCCATTTAAAAAACAAAAACAAAACGTATAATTATATTATATCCCCCCCCCCCCC